AACAGGACAAAGGTGGGGAAAGCTCTCTGCATTATGCGAAAAAAAAGTGCTTGTGTGATTCTCAAATTCGAATCTGTCTCAGAACTGGATTTCTTCACTTTACCTTCTTCCTTCTCCACCTGACAGCGTTTCAGATAAACGAGGAGGGGAGGAGGAGAGTTACTCTTTTTGCAGCACTTTTTGTTTGTCTGTTTCCCATTCCAGAATACCTATTCCAGATCTGGACTGTCACTCCTGTACCCTTCTTTATTCCCACCTTCCTGCTTACTATTGTCCTTCTCACCCAACCAGGCTCAAAGAGGCAGAGGGAAGAGGGTAGGGAGTTTGGGCCATGGAAAGAGGTTTGAGGGTGAAGGTAAATCCGATGCTCCTTTCCCAGCCTTTGCTGAGGATGTACTGTCCCAAGCTCTGCACAGGGCATTTGGGATCGTGGGTGGGAGGTGGGGAGACACAGAAGGGAAACATAGTATTCACACTCAGAGAAGTTATTTGTTGAGGCAAAATGGAAACAGGTCCGTAAGAGAGCAGAGTCAGCTGAGGTCAAGGTCTTGCTGTTAAGAGGCAAAAAGCCCCTAAGGAGTTGAGAAACAGAAGAGACCATTAGGTAAAAGACCATAAAGAAGGTGGGCACTAGACTCTCCCTCTCTCTTCCCTTTTCAGATTCTTGGCATTTCTGCAACAGATACCTTTAAGCATCTATTGCATATCAGACCATTCTTTTATATACATTGTCTTATATGATCCTTGCAATAAGACCAAAAGCTGAGTATTCTAATTACCATGTTTCGGATGAGGGGGACTGAGATCCCCAGGGACGTGCTCCGGATCATACCACTATTAAAAGAAGGAAACAGCTTTGAACCCCCATTCATCCAGCTCCAAAGTTCCTGCTCTTTCCAGTCTGCTCTACCGTTTCACTGAATGTACGTGGAAGGGCGCCACACGTTTTATCGGGCTGCATCGCATTGCGTGCATTTTTAGTATTTGTGTGCACGTGTCAACAGGCATGTCAACGTGCCTGCTGGGTGAGTCGTAACAATTGTGTTTTGAGTGTCTAACTGCATTATTTTGCTGGCAAAGCCTGGCTCAAGGAGAAGAGAAAAGGAAGCACAAAAGCCCACTGCATGGGAGGCCAGACACACAGTGAGGGCTGGTCCTTAAACAAACCAATGGGAAGTGGCTCTGGGTAGCCCCAGTAGAACTTCACTTTGTTGGAGGGCCCCTGGGTTTTTCCATGACTGTTCTATTTCCAAAGCACAATTCATTTCCCATTCTTTTTTTTAAAGAAGGAACTAATATTTGTTTAGCACCCATTATGTGCCAGACATGGTGCTGGGCACTTTACATCTGTGATATCACTTAACTCCCACAAACCCTGCCAAGGGGCCACCATTAGTGCCCCTGTGCAGCCCAGGAGACAGATTCAGGAAGCTGCGGCCATTTGTCCAAGATCACTCAACTGGGGTGGAGTAGAACAGGGGCTCCTGTCTGGTGCTGTCCAAACAACAGGCTACACTGGTGTTTTAAAGTTATTGGTGGGACATTTTATTTTTCAATAAAGTTTTAAATGATCTCGAATTCATGAACCAGTATGCTGGCATACTCACTCTGCTCCTGTTCTTTTAGAGAAAGAAGGGCTTTATCTTTTCATTCCTGAGTAACTGGGCTGTTTTGTCCCAGAGATAAGAATCTTCACGCCAGGTCACTTGAGTGTGATGTCTAGAGGGTATAACAATGGCCATCCTTGCTCATTTGACACTTCTTTTTTTTTTTTTTTCCTAAGGCACTGGCCTCCTTTCAAGACCTTCCCCACCATCACCATAGTTATGTGGTTGCTGAGGTACCATCAGCCATGACTGGGAAGGCAGGACCTGTGGCCTGACGAGCCTGTGGTCAGAGAGAGTTGCTGTGCTCAGGGTCTAAAGGGACCTCAGATTTGTGACTATGGGCTCTAATAGTCTCCCAAAGTCCCCTGGTCCCCACTCACCATGCCCCCCATAGAAAGTAGAAGATGTCCTCAGTGTCACTTGCGAACATTTGACTTCTGAGACAAGCATTTGGGCCACCAGCCCCCTTTAAGAGTAGATGACAATTTTGAAAACCTGAATGGTCTTAATTTTTTGCACTGGGCACACAGATTGACCAAAGCTTCCAGAAGCAAGATGAATAATAAAGATGAAAGTTCTTGAAACCCTAGAGGCTGTCTTTTCAAAGCTCTTTCAAAGCTCATAAAAGCAGTGAGCAGTGGGTAGAAGGAATGGGGGAGAATGAGCTCTGAGCACGGGCTGTGATGGGGAAAGCCCAGGATTCTGGCTGTGTGACCTTAGGGATACTCCACTTACCTCTCTGAGCCCCACTGTTCTCCTCTGCCATTTGCCCTTCCCTGCTGTCTGCTCCAGGTGGCTGCTGTGAGAATTAGAGAAGAATATGTTTATGGTTTGGGAGTAGGGTCTCAGTACAGAGAAGACGCTGAGGCAAGAGTCAGGAGGCCTGAGTTGTCCTTTAGGTCTGCCCTGGACTCTGTATCTCCTTTCTCTGGGTCTCCTTTTCTGAAGAATGAGGGGTTTCGAGTAAGTTTTACTTCCTCTGTGGTCTCTATTGATCTAACATGCCATGATTCCTATCTCTAAGTGGAGGATTAACTTTTAAGAGACGAATGGAGCTTTTAATATTCAGCTATTCAGTTGTTCAACAAACATTTATTAAAGGACAACCGTGTGTCAGGCACAGTGCTAGGTGATGGGTATAGAGTGACAGAACAGTTGCCGCCCGGCCCGTCATGCAGCTTCTTGTCTAGTATGAGATAGTTTGGGGGAGCTTCCTCATCTCAGATAGTTGAAGAAGTGCTGGGGCTCCAAGGGGAACACTGTTAGCTGAAAGAGCAATGTAACAGTAGCAAGAGATGGGCAAATATTCATGGAACAAATAAATCAATGCAAGCACCTTAGGGAAGCTCTTGGGGTGACCCTAGAGTTGAGGAGCAATTCCTAGGAGTCAGGAAAGGTTGTGGGTGCTCCAGCCAAGGGTGTGTATAATTACTAAATAGTTTTTTTGTCGAGACACCTGAGAACGGGAGGATCTGTCCCTACCTGCCCAGTTCCCAAGGGAGCCATTTACTGGGAACAAGGAACAATGACAGCTTCCCATGCCCTGGCTTTTCCCCAGAGTTGGAACCAGTGCAGATGCTGGAATCCAAGGGAGAAGAGAAGAGTGGCCAGAGAAAAAGGCCAGTGTTAGGATGACATTTGGGTCAAGCCCAGAGGATCCCTCGAAGTTATAGCGTCTCATGTGTATCCTGTTGAGAGAGAACTCGGGCCCAGTTGGTGCCTAAGGCCACAGGAGAGCTGGCTCTAGAGCCTGGTCAGGAGGCTGTCTGGGGAAGCGGAAAGAACCTGGGCTTAGGTGTCGGAGACTGACTTGGGTTTGAAGGCTGTGGAACATTGGGAAAATCACTTAACCTCTCTGAACCAGCTTCCTCATCTGCTAAGTAGACATCACAATGTTGGTTGGCTTCTCTAAGATGTTATGAGATGTAATCTGTCTCAGGCACCTAAAATCAGTAGCTGTGACTAACTATAGACTTGGTGGTTGGTATTCATATACATTCCATTATCAGGACCCAGGATCTCTTTCTGTGCAATATGGAAAAGACAGTGCTAGAAACAACTTCAATGAGACAACTTAGAAGGAGGTTGTATTATCTTCAGTATAAGTAAGATAGTGAAACAAGATGGGATTTGGAGGGATTTAGCTCTAGCATAACTCACCCACTAGCCAGATGTCTGACCTGATAGGTATTTTTGCCCTCTTTGAGACTTGGTTTTCTCCTCTGTTAAATGGAGATAATCTTCATGCTCAACCTTTTCTCATCCATCCATTAAATATTTATTGAATGCCTGTTATGAGCCACACCATGCTAGGTGCTGAGGAATAGGACACAGTCCCTGACCCTAAGGAGCTCACCATCTAGGGGGACAGCCTGTTAAACAGATACTTACAGATACTTACAATAGAGTGTGGTCAGGCTTAGCCCTGTCTGAGTGGACAAGGAAGGCTTCCTGGAGGAGGTGACATCTAAAGCTGAGAGCTGAAGGATGAATAGTATTTAACCACATAAAAGTAGGAAAGGAAGTGACGAGTTGGGAAGGGCATTCCAGGAAGAAGAAACTGCATATACAAAGGCAAGGGCACAGCAGATATGATAATGTGGCTAGCTGAGTCTGCCTTTCCTCAGTGTGGACTCTGTAAAGGCAGTGGGAGACCACTGAGAGATTTTAAGCAAGAGAGTTGGAGTAACATCATCACATTTGCACTTTAGAAAGAACACTCAGGCTGAATGTGCATGTGTCAAGTTTTATTATGGACACATAATTATTATTGGGATAAATTGATTCTTTCCTCTTCTTTTCTGTAACCACATAAGATGGCTCACAGAAGATGAAATAACCCTCATGAGCATGCCCTGGTGTAGGGTCTGGCACACAATAGGTGTCCAATTATCATATATTCCCCCCTTTTAAAAAAATAGTCCCTGAAAGCACAATCCCCGGCATGCAGTGCGGGTTGGGGCAAGAGCGCTGAGGGTGTGGCTGCCTGCATTTTCTGGCTGGTGTTCAGGCAGAGCTGACAGGATCTAGGTCAAAGGAAGTTCCCCAGACAGTTCAGTCTTAACCAGTCATCTGGGGTTTCAGGGAGGGCAGGTGAAGGTCAGAATATCTCCCCTATTTCAGGAGGCCTCTCCTCCTCACGGTCCTGGTCTTGAAAACTTACCAGGCATGAGCCAACCTGTTAATTTGTCCAAATCAGCTTCCTCATCTGTAAAATGGGTATGAAGTTACTTGTGCTGCCACACTGGGGGTGGGGGTGGGGGCGGTTGTCGTGCGGACTGGAAGAAGTGTGTGAACCACAAACAACAAAGTAACACGATAGATTTCACTAGTACCTACTGTGGGCCAGCCTTGTTCTATGACGCTGGTATTATCCTTATCCCTATTTTACAGATAAAGAAGGCAGAGTTCAGAGAAATTATGCAGATCATTCAGGGGCACAGAGTAAGTGGCTGTAGCCAGAGCCCTGATGTTTTAAACACTACACCATGATACCGTAAACTGCTGTCCCTGGAGAACCACCAACTGCTCCTTGAGCTCTCAGCATGATGCAGGTACTCCAGAAATGTGTGCGGAAAGATGGAGGAAAGAAGGACAAGGGCAACGTTCGAAGCCTGAGAAAGTTTTTCCTAATGCTTCCTGACCCCACCTCTAACCAACTCAGGGTCTTCTCCCAGATGTACTCCAGGAAATGGTTCCTTTCCGGGCATTAAAATGACCTGTTGCCTGTCTGACTCATTAGGCTGGGACTGGTGAGGGCAGGCTCTGTGTCTGGGTCATGGTGGTCTCCCTAGGGCCTAGCAGAGTGCCTGACACTTGATAAATATGTGTGAATAAATTCTGTCCTTTGCCTGGATTTTCTGTCCAAGCTTTCCTCTTGACCAAGAGGTCTAAAGCAAAGGAGCTGGGGCTTCTGGGAAAGTCCCCTAGGGTCATTGGGCGCATACTGATGGAGGGCCAGTGACAGATCAATGTGCCACCCCCAGGCCAAGGCTGACACTGGACTCCCACAACCCCCCACTGCTGGATGGACCCAGTGGGCTGGGGGACTCATCCCATTCTGCTCACCTTCTCCTTGGGACCTGATGCTGGCCGGCCGTGAGCAGAACAAGGGGCCTGCATGTCACACGAGGCACCCTAAGGGTTTGTTGGGTAGACCTCTGTGTGCAAGACACTGTACGTGCCCGGTGTCTTGATCTGGGTTCACCTGACTGATGGCTCGTCCACAAGTCGCCTGAGAACGAGAACAGTCCTCAGGCACATTGAGCAACCGGCTTCCCTTCCTCGCCGCCAGCCCCGACCCACCACGTCAGGAGCTGGGCCAGGCAAAGTGAAGAAACCTGTTCTGGGCCTCCGCCGGGTGGGCACGGGAGGGGCCCTGCCGGGAAAGGGGCGGCTGGGCCAGTTTCCATTGCTCCCGGACCGGATGCAGCCCCGTGACTAGGGCGGAGGCCGGAGAAATGCGCGCCCTGGGCGCACCTGTGTGTCCTCCAGGGCGACGTTGGCTTTGGCAATAAGACTAGAGGCTCTAGGTCAGCGGTCACCGGGCGTGCGACTTCTGGCTGCTAAATCAGGCGAGCGGGCGCGGCAGCAGCGAATCAGCTGATAGGTAGAACTGGAAGAGGCTTTGGACATCCTGCAGGTAGGGGAAGGAAAATGAGGGAAGAGGCGGCGCCCAGAAACAACTGCTGGGTCGTCACGCCACTGTCCTGACGTTGTAACCGCGCATTTTGCGCTTTACCCCTGCGCCTTCCCGGGCAGCACGGTGGGATGGAAAGAACCAGCGACAGAGCTGTATTTGAATCCAACTGTCCCATCTACCGGCTTTTGTGTTCTGGGGCAACTGACTACTCCTGCCTACCTGAGCCAGATTTAGCCAGATGAAAAATGGGGATTCCCTCCCTCAAGCATAGTGTGAGGAGTCAATGAAATCACATAGGAACATTGCCTGGCACATGAGTAGGTGCCCAGGAAGCGGGGTTCCCTTTCCCTTCTTCGTTTCAGACCCAGATCTCACTCCCAGCCCGGAAGTCGCGCCCCACAGGCGACCATAGGACGGTGGGGTCTGGGTGGCAGGTGCCCTGGCTTGGTAATAACTCGAGAAATATTTGAACCTCTTTGCCAAACTATCAGATAGGATGGGGTGTGTGGGAGGATTCCGAAGGCCGCCTTTGGGTCGTGTTTCTGTGATCTTGGAGGGCATTTCAGTGCATTCTTTGATTCACGTTATTTATTTATTCACAGATTCCTATCAGGCGAACGCTTCTTACTGCCTCCCCCCGCGACGTTCCCGGTCCGCCAGCGTTCTTTCTTCCATACAAGTCCAGCTTCCACCGGCTGCTTTTGTGTAAATAAAGCCTGGCCTTCCGCCTGCAGGTTGCGGTCGGGAGCCGGCTGATGGGGGAGGCGGGAGGGAACCGGTGCAACCACAGCAGGTGGGCCTCGGGGAGACTGGAAGCCAGCCACGCCCAGCCCTGAGCGCAGGGGCGGTGCTCCGGGGCCCCTAGAAGGAGCAGAGCGAAGAAATCCAGGCTAAGACCGTGAGAGTCCCCACCCCGCTAGCACCCTCTTCCATGGGTCACCCAGCACGTGTCAGGCCCTTGACAAACATCATCCCGAATCCTCCCAGCGACGCTGCGAGTATTCTCCCCATTTTATAGACGGGAGACTGAGGCTCAGCAAGTGTAAGTGACTTGACCGAGGTCCCATAGGCAAAAAAAAAAAAAAAAGGCAGACCAAGAAATTCTAACCGAATTCTGGATGCAAAACCTAGTCTTTTCCCCACCTCACTGGTCACCAGTGAGACTGTAAAGGTGGGAAGAAAAAAAAAAAATAGCCACAACGAATCAGATTAACAGATCAAAGGGAGTTGAAAGGGCCTTCCAGAGCTTCCTCCTGTGTCTCAAACAGGAGGATTCGAACCACAAGATAAATAACAGACTATTTTTCCTGGGTGACAATTTTACTCTTTTTAAAATTAAAAATTATATAGATTTTTTAAAACAGATAACGATGGAGAAGAATATAATTTTTAGAATTATGGTAGCTGAAAATAGGAGACTTCAAAGAAATTTCAGGCTGTTTCCACAACGCACACCTTTTGTTCTATTGTCCAGAAACATTGTTGACGTCAGTTACACAGATGGGCAAACTGAGACCTGAAACCAGTCCCACTGAGAGAGAGGCAGAGCGGGGGAGGAGAACCGAGACTTTTGGGCTCTCGGCCTGGGGTGCTTTCTGTTGGGGGCGCGGGTCCTGTTTGTAAATAGGTATTCTCGGACAGCCACTGCCGATCTTTGTCTCTGTGTTAACCAAGTGCGGCCGATTCTGAGTCATCGCAGGCAATCAGCACGGCTGGGACTAAAAGCGAAAGGGACGCGCGGGCGACGGGCCCGGGAGGGCGGCGGGTCGAGAGCCCAGGCGCCCACGCAGGCGGGGCCGCCGCTGGGATTCCCGCGGTACGAGAACGCGGGAGGCGCCCTGCCCCGGCAGCTCTCTGCGGTCCAGCCCTGCGCAGGCCGCGGGCGCCGCAGGCCACGCCCCCGCCCCAGGCCCGCGGGACCCGAGAGCCCCCGCCCCAAACCCCTGCTCTCGGCAGGGGCTGAAAGATGCTCCGGGACCTCTGGCCAGTTCGCCCAACCTCAGGCCTCTGGGACCGGCGGCCCTCTCCTTGCGCGTGGGGACAGTCAGGTTCTTAGGCTTGGCCTTAAATCCGCCCGTGATAATTTGCTAACTCTAAAGTCTTGAGAAAATTACTTAAGCTCGCTCTCTCTCTCTCAGTTTCTGCATCTGTAGAATGGGAGTTAGCGACTCTTACCTCATATAATTGCTGTGAGAAGTAAATGTGTGCCTATCTGTAAAGGCCTAGAACGTTTAAGAAACTAATTAAATGCGGTTTTACTATTATTGTTAGGCGGGTCCCGGTGGGACTCTCAGGCCAATTCAGAACTGGATGACCTGGGCAGATGGACTTTCTTCAGTTCCCCCACCTGGAAAATGGAGCTTCATTACACTTTCCATAACAGGGTGGGGGTGAGGACAGAGGGCCTCCCCAGCATCTGGCAAGTCCACACGTGGTTATGTTTGCAACTCGTTATTTGCCAGCAATGTCTTAAGCACTTTGCACTTATTAGTGCATTTAATCCTACAATTACAGTGTGAGAGAGGTATTACCGTTTTCCGTTTCACAAGTAGGAAACCGAGACACAGAGAGGTTAAATGATTATCTAAGGTCACACAGCTACTAAGTAGGATTTGCACAAAGCCACAAAATCTGGCTTTCTACTCCATGTTCCTAACCCCTACCAGATGTACCAGGCACTATGCTAGGTCTGGGGATGCAGCCAGGAATAACGTCACACAGCCACCTCCTCAACAAAAGGCAGGATCTCCTTTCTGAGTTTGCTGGCCTTCCTTCTATATGCTTAAGCATTGCATGAACTTTATCATATTTTATATACCCATTGTGTGCACCTTGTACTCGGGAGGTATTCAACATCGCTAATTTCCCTCTTCCTGTATTTTTTGGGTCTAGTTACAAGTCTTTACTTGGAGGGTGGACCTTAGATGTTTTAGGTGATGGGGCACTTTGTATCTAGCAGGTGCTCCACGTACGAGTTCCTCCTTCCCTGTACTTAGTGATCTTCCAGTTCAGCAGATTGAAAGTGCACACACTTAAGGTTTAGACCTTTTAATAATAATGATTGCTTCTGCCTCTGAGAATTACTGTCTTCGCTGTGGGTTTCCCAGAACAGAAGATGAATTTACTGTATTTATCACTTAATCATTTCCACAACAGCTCATGACTATGACATCTTTAATGAAAGGTACAGAATTCTCCCTCTCCAACCCTCCCTCTTTGGGGTGCCTGTGATAACTCTTGCTGTAAATGGCTAAAGCTATTAAATAGAGAATGTAGATCTTCCTGCGATGCAAGTGTAAGCTGTCGTTACATTCATTGCTTAAATGGTATGATCATTTCAAGCTTGGCTTTTGCATTTGAAGCCTTGAGTTAAATGTGGAAAGCAAGAAAGAAAAATGCTTAACGGTTGGAAATAAAAACGTGCAGTGGGTAGGTTTCCAGAGTAATAAAAAACAGCTTTAAATTTTAAAAGATTTGAAGCCTGGTCTGGTTCCAGGCAGCATACCCTACATTCCTATCATCCACTGTGGCTGTATCCTGAGGGTTAAACCACCTTTAGACAATGCAATGAGCTCAATTGAGGACAAAGTATTAAATTGTGAATTTCTCTTTGAACGTGGGATAGCTCGTGGAGCGTGTTCAGTGTATGGTAGGCACTCAAGGGGAAGCCATTATGGTTAGAGACCGGGATGCAGAGAGAGCATTGAAGTCTTTCCACGCAACTGATTTTTATTGAGCACCTACTATGTGCTAGTTGCTTGTAAGTCCATTTTTTCAAATAAGCTGCACAATAAGCATGTGAGGAAAATATCATGTTATAGAGGAAGAAATGGACACTTCAAGAAGTTCATTAACTTGTCTATCTCACCAGTGAGTAAGTGGTATAGTGTGAGTTGAAATTTGGGTCTGACTCCAAGTTCAGCGGCTGATTCACTGCACCACTCTGCTTTTTCCTGTACGCCTGGCTGTCAGTCATCTTAGACCTGGAGACGAGAATCAGAGGGGACTTGAAGATCACCTTAGCCAGGGTTTCTCTGCCTCTTTGTGAAATCCAGGTCACCCTAGATAAATGCAAAAGCCTCGCACGCTTTTTGAATGAGTTTCAAATTCAAAATAATTTAAATATCGTGATTCAAAACAAAGCATAGGGACAGCCTTTTCAGTATTATTTATTTATTTACCTTTTTGACTGCGCTCTGTGGCATGTGGGATCT